GGGGGGGGGAGGACAGGGGGGCGGGTGGGGGGGGGTTTTTTGTTTGGAAGGAGAGCCCCCCCCCCTACAGGAAGCCACGACCACATGTCACGGCAGGGAAAATGGCTGCGGATCCTGTTTGTCACCCGATGTGGAGTTCGCGGACGAAAGCAACATTTTGCGAACGGTGCTGTTCGTGACCCGAATTGGTCGTGAACAGAACCGTTCGTGACCCAAGGTACCACTGTATTTCTTTGCTTCTATTAACATTATAGAAGATTATGTCTATTGACATAAATAATGCAAAAGGAAATACATTACTCAGCAAACATGAGGGAAAATAGAGAAATGAATATCTGAATTATTAATTTTAAAATTAAAAAATGGATTTCAAGTCAGCATATATAACGTAGTTATAATAGCCCAGGCCTTGTTAAAACAGGATAACTGGAAAGTAGTATTTCAACATTATATTTGTTTATATGGAAGTAAGTCTCATTGTCAATCTATTAGCTTATTGCAGCAAAAATTCCAAGGAATCTCCTGACATATTAAAGACTAATAAATGTGTTTTCACATATGCCTAAACCATTTAAGATGCTACAAAATAATAATCTGTTTCATTCTTCTATAGCATTGTATGTCTGGTATTGGTTCACAAAAATATGCTATTTACATTGTAAGCAACTGATTGTAAATTTGCCCCATGCCTATTGTAAAGCAGCTTGATAAAGGTTGCTGAAACCTACAAATGTTTTGAATGCTTTTTTAAAGTAGAAAATAATACAGTGGAAGCTGGCTAAGTATGAGTCATACAACACCTTGCTTGGTGAATCCAGGAGAAAAAAATGATGATTTAGATTTATAAATATTCTATATTTTGGGAATTTTATTTATTTATTTATTTAATTTATTTAAGCAATTTATATGGCCGCCCAACTCACTAATGGTGAATAAAGAGAGTTCAACCTTTTGCTTAGTGGCACTGAATTAAACTAACCAGTGGTATCCTTAACAACCAGACACACTGGTCCACAAAGCTTAAGAGATAACACAATATCAAGGAGCAGGTGGCAGTTGTGGCAAGGAGGGCCTTTGCCCACCTCCGTGTGGTGCGCCAGTTACACCCCTTCTTGGATCAGGAGGCTCTCTGGTCAGTCACTCATGCCCTGGTCATCTCTCAATTAGACTATTGCAATGCACTTTACATGGGGCTACCCTTGAAGAGTATCCGGAAGCTACAGCTGGTTCAAAATGTGCCGCATGGATAATATTAAGTGCCCCAAGGATGGCACATATAACACCTTTACTGCGGGAGCTGCATTGGGTGCCAGTTTGCTTCCCAGTCCAATTCAAGGTGTTGGTTATTACCTTTAAAGCCCATGGCATGGGCCCAGGTTACCTGAGGGACCGTCTCACCCCTATTACATCAACTCATCCCACCCGATCAGGCAGAAGGGGCATGTTGTGGATCCTGTCAGTGAGAGAATGTTGGCTGGCGGGGCCCAGGAGGAGATTCCCTTTTGGAATATTCTCCCCCCAGAAGTGCAGCGGGCCCCTACCCTCCCAGCTTTCCAGAAAGGATTAAAGACCTGGCTCTGCCAGCTTGCATGGGGCGACAGGAGCTCAAATCGTCCCTGGAGGTGGTTAGTGCCCTGATGATGTTCCCTGAGTTATTCGCCAATTCTCTAACATTCTTGGTACTTATTTATTATTGTTTTATATTGCATTTTAATTAATTTTATCTCTGCTGTAAATAGCCCAGAGTTGTTTCAATGAGATGGGCAGTGACAAATTTGATATATAAAAATAAAAAATAAATAAAATAAGATATCCTTTACAAATAATCCAGAAAGCCTACCTGATTTAGCTCCTCATCATTAGCAACTGCCAGAAGGATGTGTCTTGGTGCAATTCTTCCCTTTTTGTTGTCTCTTGCAGCATTTCCAGCTAATTCCAATATTTCTGCTATAAATACAGTGGGACCTCAGTTATAAGATTATAACATACATACATACATACAATTTCAGTGCAATAATATCACACTCAAGTTTCTTGAATGAAAATCCTACATTAAAAATCCCCAAATTTGGTCAGGAGTATCATAGGGCTATTAACTAATACAGTCTTGTCTTACGAGTTTGGTACAGCATTTTAGAAAATGCTGATTTTCAGGGTTGATTCAGGGTTTGGGGGAAAATTGAAAATGAAAAGGCAGCTGGGTGACTTTGGGCTAGGCACTCTCTCTCAGCCCAACTCACCCACAGGGTGGCTGTTATGGGGAAAACAGAAGGAGGAAGGAGTATTAGGTATGTTCACCGCCTTGATTTATATAAAAAAAATAAAGGCAGGATAAAAAATCTAAACAAAAATTATAATAAAGTTTCTCAGTGGTATCATCAATTTCAAGGTGCAAAAATATAAACACCCAAATGTTGATGTTCTACCATTAACAATTTTGAATGAAATTTGCTATTTTAAAATTAAGTTTTATAAGCCGTTCCATTAAAGTTAGAACTCCTCAAACATTTTTATTAAATTGTCAAAGGCCAGTAGAAGGACATAAATCTCCATCCCACCTGAAGCAGTCAGCTTTACTACTATGTTTTCAGAATGGATGAAATAGCTCCCCTGCACTGGAAGCCTGCTTGATCTATATTATTTACATACATACATACATACATACATACATACATACATACATACATACAAATGTGATGCCGCTGTTTAAGTGCAATTTCTTGTGCCTACAGCCCAATTTAGGCATTACTGAAACTGAAATGTTTACTATGTGAGCTCCAGTTAAATCTTACCCTCTTCCATCACTGAAATAATGACATTAAAAACTTCCCCTTTGGGTGAAAAAACCTGGGTGGGATGTCTACAAAAATATAACTAGTACCTTTGCCCTTTTCTATTTTACAGCACACAAAACATGTTACAAAAAGGATAAAACATACCCTAATGGATCCACACTATTCCCATTGTTTTGTTAAAAGCCAGAATTCAGTAACACTCATGCTGCAAATAATGTTAATGACTCTTCTTCTGTTGTACAGCCTAATTTCCTGAGATGTTACGCAAGCAACTGGTTTTGCATCTTCATCATTATAATGGATATATGCACTTACCCGCCAGGTATTCTATGACAGCTGCCATATACACAGGAGCACCCACTCCTATCCGATACTTGTATGTTCCTTTCTTCAAGTACCGCATCATTCTTCCTACTGGAAAAATAACACCTGCTCGACTGGAGCGTGATATTTTGCTCATTTTTTTCTTTCCACCTCTGGCTGACATGTTGCTGGGTGTTTTTCAGTGTTCTGGTAGACAATCCTTTTTTATTTGCCCTAATACAAAACTTAGAAAGGATGAAAACAGGAATTCATATTGAGTGTGTAATGTGATAACCACCCTGCTCTCAAAATAATTTAAGGATCAAAATTGTAAGTCTCATTGCAAAAGACAGGTAACAGATTTTGAGGTAATACACAGTATATGTGATGTTGATTGCATTATAGTGGGAAGAATTTCACAATGCAGGAGTATTTTGGCAGCCAGCAAATTTCAGCAGCCAGTTTTCT